TCAAAGGTGAAATAAAAATAAAATTTCATCCTTTTTGGGGATTTTTGCTCCCTTCATATTAAGATCCGGTTAGACTACTGAGAAAAATAATCTACACACTCTAAGCACTGGGTCCCTTTTAAGCTGCATGTCCCTTGTTGTTTACAGTGTTTTGCAGCATCATGAGAAGAAAACCCGATCTTTAAATCTGCAGCAAGTGAGAATTATGAAACACGAAGGAAGTCAAACCGGACAGAGGAGATGGTCAGAGGCTTTCACAGGTGACGACCGGGTCGACAACATCAAAGTCCTCGGAGTACAGATCTCTGATGACTTCACCTGTTCGAAAAATATCGGGAATCAGGGAAATGCAGTACGGCAGACAAAAGGGCACCGCCCACAGCGAAAGGAGTTGAAAAGGTCATTTAAGTGACCCTAACAAATGCAGCTGCCGCATGAACAGATATTGCCCAATACTTCTCACATCGTCCCCAAGAATTTTTCACCTATTTGAATGGTTTATCTATTATTTATTCTTTTTTTTTTTCTCTTTAACATCTTACAGACCAATGTGCTGAAGAGCCCAGAGAAAGTTTCTCTCATTTAACTCCAGCCCAGTGGTCTCAGACTCCACACCTAGAGGGCCAGAGTCCTGCAGCTTTTAGACGTCTCTCTGCTTCAGCACACCTGGCTTCAGCATCAGCTCGAGCTGTGTAGAAAAGTGCGACTGCATATTAGCGAGGCAGTTTTGCCATTTAATTAAAGCGCGGAAAGACGAGGGACACATGTAAAAGTTGCAGCACTCTGACGCTCGACGAGAGGACTTTGAGACCATCGCCACTGGCTGGCAGGTTCAAGGTGTTTTCAAAAGAAAACATTAAAGATCTTGTATTTATTTTTAAAAGATATTTATATCATGACATATGGACTCGCTCATAAATAGGTGTTTCTGGTGGATTTACTTTCAGCATCATGAACTTTTGCTTTTGAAATTCAACTATTTTTCCCTAAAGCTATTCAGAATCAATCAACTAAAGGGCTGCCAACTTTACAGCAAACGCAACAACTGCAGGAACATTTACGAGTGAAGAATAAAGAGAAGAGGGAGCTGAGAGTGGGAACCGAGAAATAGTTATTAGCTCAGGTAAGAAGGTATCAACTTTCCCTCACAAAGGAAAAGCAGATGGGTGGAGGGAGGGGGGGGGGGAAGGAAAGAATGAGCCTCACGAAGGATAATTTGTCAGAAATAAATGCTGTGTAATCAGCTCGTTTGTTTGAAAGCAGGCAGGTGAAATATATACTCATTGTAAACACACACACACACAAAAGAAAATCAGTGCACTCTTAATTATTCATCTGAACTTTCAATGTGCCGTTAATGGACCGAACAATTTTATCTGGAGCAGTGCTTGCTTTTGTTGTGGCTCACCAAGATGCCTGTGTTGCATTTTCCTTTCTGTCTGGGATATCCAGACCAGGCTGGCTGTGCAGAGGTTTGGAGTAAAACACATGCAACATCTGAGGTTAAAAAAACATGCAGTTGTGTAACAGAAGACGACGGGCGACACTGAGCTTGAATTTGGCTGTAAAACAATGTTGGGGACCCATTTTCACTGGCATCTAAAAATGACACCCGCTGCGGTTTTCAATCCCTTGCAAAAGCATTTATATTAGTTCAGTTTTCTTTTTTTTTTTTTTTTTTATTCTCAGATTTTGTCACTTTGTATAAAGACAAAGACAGAGACAAAATCTGGTTTTAAAATATTTTCACAATTATAAATGTTTATTTTTCTAAAAAATACCTTGAGCTTCAGTTCCAGGTTCAGGACTCATGGAGTGTGTCTCTTCTAGCTTTGCACATCTAGAGATTAAAGTTCTTGACTATAATTCTGCAGAATAGCTGAAGCACAATCAGTCTGTGAACATCAGGTTTCAATTATCGCAGCAGATGGTCAGTTTCATTTAGTTCTTGACTTTGACCGGGCCATTTTAACATGAATATTCTTTAAGCTCTATTAGTGTAGTTGGGACAGTATGTTTAGGGATGTTATCCTGCTTTAAGTTGATCTTCTGTAGCAGGTTTTCCTCTGGGATTTCCTGAGGAAATCTCAGAAATCTCTCCATTCATTGTCACATCAACTATAACCAGCTTTCCACATCATGACGCTGCCACCACCAGGTTTCATATTTCGGGACGTTGCATTTGAACTGAAGTGACACGTTTGTGTTCTTGTGTTCTCATTTTTGCAAGGTAGCCAGACGGATTCAAATATGATCTTGTCTGACCAGAGCCTCGTCTGCAACATGTGCGCTGCATTCGCTGCACGGGTTGTGGTAAAATTTTATACGGGTCATAGTTATGACTTTCTTGTAAAGAAGGCTTTCTTTTTTGCCACACATTAATAAAAGTCAGAATAGTTGAGTTGGTTGAGTTTCAGAATATTGCTCTCCTTCATTTCTTATGAATTGAAGTGGACGCTTTCCTCTTTTCAGAAGATAAACGCTGCTCTGCAGGATGTGAGGTGTTGGAATGTTTTAAAACGTAAACTTTATTCTTTATCCGGTCTGTGTTCTTTTGTCTTCTTGGTGCTGTTTGTTCCCTGATGTTGTCATGCAAACCTCTGAGGCCTTCACAAAGCAGCTGCACTTTAATTAATTAATTAGTTAATTAATTAATGCTGCAAATTAATTACACAAGGATGGACTCTACTGCCTACCTGACTTCTGAAAGCAGTGGAGAGCACTGGACTTTATCATGGGGCTATCAGAGTTACCATTCAGATTTTCTGTAGTAAAAATACAAAAATTATTAATTTCCTTCCACTTTGTAGCTAAACATCGCTGTATGTTGGTCTGTCATGTAAAATCTCAGCATTTGAGTTTATGTTCGTAACAGGATGAAATTCAGAGTTATAGTATTTTGGTACTTTTGTCTTTGTAGAAATGTGTTCTTTTTGTGGACAGCGTTGTATTTATTCTGTTTTCCTGTTATTCTTGCTTCCTTGCCACCTTTATACTTATTGAATTTTGAATCCTTCTTTCATATAAATAATTTTCGAGTGTTAACATTTACCATTTTATTGCCATGTGCCGATTTTACAGCCGATTTTAATTTAGGGGAGACCGGGTATGGTTGTAACATGGGGAGAGTTGTAACACCACCAGTTCCACCAATCAGGGATAAGATAGGAGTCACATGATCATTTCAGCATTTACCCGCTTCCTCCCCAATCCCATATTGTGATTGTCAAGGCTGGAAACAGGCACATGCAGATACTAAGGAGAAAAAACGGATTTTGAGGTAAGAAAGTAAATAGGGGAGACCGGGTATGGTTGTAACACTTTTTGCTCCAGCACCTTTAACTCACAGAATTTTTGAGCTAGAGTTTTCAAACTTTTATACAAAATACCCACATTTGTTTACTACAAATGGCACCAATTCAAACATCTGCAAGAATATCACAGACCTCATGAGGTCTATTTTCAAACTTATGCACAATACTGAAAAATCATTCGGCAATAATATTTTACTTCTTAGCTTAATGCCGAACTACCTGAGTGAGCATTTACAATGTCTTAATCTGAAATACTGTTAGAGAGAAACAACGTTTGTGCTACAGCTACCATGCTAGCGCTAAAACAAAAGTCACCTTGGCTTCAAGCGACGATGTCAGCTCACGAAGTTTTGAGCTGAAAACATTTGGTGGCGTTTTTATGTGAAAGACGGACGTATGGAGCAAAGAACCATAAGTTACTGACTGTCAATGGCAAACTGAAGGATATCTCAACTGGTCAGATTCTGCTGGATTACTTAAGGAAAGAAGTAAAACCAGAACCAGATAGAGGAGGTAACATCTGACAACATGAAAGAAGGGTAAATGAACAAATCATGTCAGCAGAAAGCCAGCTCAAATAGCCTCCTCAAAGGGACCACCTCTAAGCAGCCACATTGTTTGACATCTGTTTTGCAGCTTTGCTCTGTGCAGCGGTTTGTGTTGAGAAAGCAGCGTGCGTATATCATCTTTGGCCCGGATCCAGGGGGTCCGGGCTGCTGGCTGGGTCGTCCAACGCAAGCGTTTCACGGGGAGGGCAAACAGCCAAACAAATCGGACAACCAGCGATGATGAGCCGTTCCACCAAAATCTTCCTGCTTAACGCTAGGGCTTAAAAGATTCACTAAATAATAGTTTGCTAAGTATGCTAAGCATTTCTGCATAGCCACCTTGTAAGGAAGCCCTCATACTTTTTTTTTTTTCTCCATTTCTGTGTTTGTTGCCCCCGTTAATGTTTAATACAACTGAGCCCTGGAAGCACATTTGATTTAGGTTTCCCTGAAAACACTGTTGGAAATTTCACTTGTCAAAAAATATTTCACATCAGTCAGTTGTGGCCAGCACAGGGCTAGGCTTTATTTTGGATTAATGATGCCCTTTGATACTGTGACCTGTTCTCGGACACTTATAATTTCATAGGCTGCGAAGAACACTGAACATACTCTAACGCATGTATCACTTCTTCCTTTTAAAACATCGAGGTTATGGGAACATTCCTGCAGGCTTCTGAAATTTTCACCTAAGTTTAACAGTGCTGACAGCTGTCAGGCGCTGCTTTCTTCTTTTCTTGGCGAGACATATTTCCAGACACATTCATCTTAAAATATTAGTGTTCCAGATTTTTGAACATTAACTTATGTTGACCCCCACAGTGCAATAACATCAGGAAACAAATCATAAGAATCCCATCTGATTCAGATTTGAACATGAAAACTTTTTTTTTTTTTTATTTCTTGCTGACTGCCGAAATCTGGAGAACTGTGAGAGACAAGAGAATGTAATGTTAAAAACATAAATCTTCACCAGCACAAGACTCAAAATAATATATCACTGGGATATAGCTGGCACTCTGTACTGAAAGTAGCGTTCAAGGGGAATATTACATTTCACAGATATCACTGTAAAGGTTTCGTAACGAAAACTGTTTTAAATTTCAACATGCCACACACGACATTAATAAGCAGAGGATAACTGTTTTGAAAAAGATAATTTATTTGATTTTATTTTTTCAAAGCTGCATTATTTATATAAAAAAAGATATTACAGCACCGGAAAAGCAAGACGCTTAGGGGTATAAATGAAACAGAGCAAAAACCAAAGCAATCACAGAATGCTTCATAAAGGCAACCTTCATCTCTGACACGCAATAAATCAACCTTACACCACAAATGATGCTCCGCACCAAATACAAAACAAACGCAGACAAAAGAAAAAAAAAATCACTTAAAAGTGATTTATTGAGAGAAGTAATGTGTTGTGATTTTAGCTATGGCAAGCCAAAGGTGGCAAATTCAGATGTAAAAAAAATACAAACATATAAACATGTTGGTTTAACTTTGAATAATAACGACAATGAAAAGAATGGAACAGAAGAAACTTTTCTTCATCAATGTCTCATAAAAAAAAAAAAATGGACTGTACATGTTTATAGCATTACGACATTTTTATCCAAACACTCCCACCACTTGGCCTTGTCCTGGAGATTTGCTCTGTGGAAAAGCGTTAAACAGACCTGCTTAACTAAAACAACGCAAAGCATCTTGAGTTATGAGGCAGCACCATTCAAGCCACATATCTCAATCTTTTTAGTGTTCACAATTAACACATTAGTCATGTTCTGCATTTCATAGGCAAGATCATAATATTGATACAATGCATGAATGACGTGTCCAGCACTAAGACAGAGAGAGAGAGACAGAGAGAGAGAAAAGTCATCAAAAGGCATATTGCGTGATTTATCACTGAAGACAATGAAATGGCTGTTTCTGCTGCTACTTAACAAAGGAGCACCTATTTGGTTTTTAGCTTCTTGGGCGGGACTTTTTTAAGTTCCTGGTTCTTTTGATCCTCGGTAGTGTCCTGGTCAGGGTGAGTTTGGGCCGCCTTTGACTCGTGGAGCTGTTTAAGGCTGAGAATTTGCTGCTCCTTCGTGGTTTCTCGTTGGGCCAGATGCAGGAGACGTTTCAGGGTCTTCACCTTTTCCTTCAGGTGGCCATTGGCTTTCTCCAGAGTACGCACTCTGTGGGAGAGAGTCCTCACTCGCTCCTCCTCCTCAAACAGAGCTTTCTGAACTGTGGAGCACAGCAGCTGAGAAGAGACAGAAAAAAAAATAAAAATAAGAGCGTTGTTTATTCAAGCTTTCCACGTAAGCAGTTTTTAGTTAAAAAAAAAAAAAAAAAAAGGGGGGAAACTCGCGTGGCATATGTGATTAAATGTCAGTAGCGAATAATCATGGAAGGAAAGTGACACATAATTCAAGTGGAATGGAATAAAAACATAGCTTTGGAAACTATTTTTCAACCAAAAATCAGAAAAAACTCTTTGTATATTTGAATACTGACCACTTTAATTTTATATAGGGACATCAATAACATTAATCTCCTCTTTGCAATGCGCAGGATATTATTCCTCTTCAGAATAACTTTTACTTTTATAAGCATTCTGACTAAAACCATGAAGGGACATATTTTTCTTTCCTGTTGGTTGACAACTTTAAAACGTGTAGTTGCTACTTTAATAAGTAAAAATATGGCAATGGCTTATTTAACAATGTGATTCTGGAATGAAAGATTTTTCTTGATAATGCTGCCATAATATTCCTTTGTTCTGACAAGTTTCCTGTTCTGTTGTTTCTGCGTGGGGCCGTGTGTTTCGGGAAGAGCAGATTTTGTAACACGTCTCAGCTGTTAGTCTGATGTGCTTGTCGCTGACATGACATAAACTTCCGCGATGGCATTTTGGAAGCAAAAAACCAACCCGGGCCAAAGTTTTGGACGCAACTTTGAATTTCTGTTTACAATGAGTTTGTAAAAGCAGCATCAGTTTTATGGATTTTGGCTTAGGGTTACTGATATGCACCATTTGCTCAGTTTGAGGAGCGATATGGAGAAGATTTACAAGAGTCATAACTTCAGGGCTGACGCAATTAAATCGTGACGATCATGACTAGATCAACTAAACAAAGATTCTGTTAGTTGATGTCACATGGCTACGTGGAAACTATTGGTAAGACCTGCTAGGGGCTTGAGCCGACCCCATAAAGTCATGAAAAAGAAAAAAAACAAAACTTTTTGTTACATATATGATGTAGAATTGCTGGTTGGATATGGCCTATTCTTTGTGTAAGTCACATGAGGGAACGCTGCTGACAGGCTCTTTGGTCCCAGAGCCTGTATCAACAGCTCACAAGTCCTCCAGGATATTCCAATGTTTGTATAAGAATGGGCCAAAAAAAAAAAGAGGTTATTTTTGGACGCTTGTAGCTTAAAACAAGGGATTTTGGGAAGAGAAACATAAAACAGTGAAGGGGAACAATGTGAAAGCAATCCTGTTTCTCATGCGTCTTGCGTAAAGTAGCGTGTGGTGAAAGTGAGGAAAAGCCAAATTCAGATGTGGCTGCAGACAAAGGTGTGTGAGAAACTCTGTGACTTTTGGATCTTACAGCAGAGTTCCATGCTCCCATCTTGTTCCTCACTGAGTGGATAGAAAGGAGGATTGGCTCTCTGAGTGACAGAATGTTTCGTGTTAGTACTGACAATTTCATGTGCTGCCTCTGCCCCTCTTTCTTGCGGTCCTCTTCTGTTTTCCTTACATCAGAGAAAACACGACCTTCTGTTTCACTGCTACACAGACGAATGTCAGATCTGCTTATCTCTAGCACCCAAACATCCATGCAACGCTCGTCTTCATGGTAGTAAAACACCTGATTATATTCAGACCTGATAAGCACCCTGCCTACTACATTTTGTTTTCTGGAGATATTACATTTGACAGAACATAGACAATTTTGGAATAATTGTGAACTCCGTTTAAATTTGATAAATCAAATCTGTTCTGCAAAAAAAGTTCTTCCAGTTAAAGCAAGCAAAGCAAAACTTAATCGAGGTTCATCTAGGCATGACTTGGAGAGAGTAATACATGCCCTTGACTGCTGCAATGCACTTTATGCCCCATCAACTCTTGTTCAAAGAGTTGATGGGGGTATCTTCTTCCATGAACACATCTCACCTTTCCTGGCCTCTTTCTCCTCTGTACCTTTCAGTATCTTCTCACTTCGTATCTTTCTTTGCAAACCTCTAAGAGCTGACCAGCTGCTTTTAGTTGTCCCAGGTGGATGTTTAAAGGAGCTCAACGTTTTCTGTTATGACTCCCAACTTTTGGAACGAACTGCCTTTAAACATTAGACAGGCATCTGCTCTTCCTGTGTTTAAGTCTCTTTTAAAACACATCTTTTTTCAATCGTTTCCAACCAGTAGTGAGTTGACTGGCTCGTATTATCTGTGTAGTATTTTTGAGTCTTTCTTTGTGTTTTGTTTTTCTTTTTTTTTTTAATCTATTTTTGTTAGTATGTAAAACAAAAGGTGACGCAGAATCAGATTTTAATGAAAAATTGAGTAAGCTTGACTGCATGTGAGAATAAAGATATGGAAAAAATGATTCTTATTATATAAAAAAAAATGACAACACAGTAAACCAGCTATGCAAAGACCCTCTGTTTCACTGTTCTGGGCTGAAGCTCAACATGCCTGCGAACCTGAGACAGATGATTCAAAGACCTGGACCCTTCCTGGCTAAAACAAAACAAAAAAAAAAATTACCTCCATATGCCTCTGACTGTGTTTCTTAGATTTCCTCAGCAGACTCTAATGCTTCCACATGGGCCAGCGGGACGACCGATGTAAGTTCTCTGCCATCAGATAACAACCACTGAGGGTTTTGCGGAAATGTAAAAAATGTGCTGCCGACCCACATCATTGGTTAGAGCGTTACTTGTTGTAATATTAGCTGTGGACTCTTTCCATGTGCTTTCACTTTGGTCCCGGAGGACTTTCCTTAAAAGTACGGAACTTTAAAACGGAAAAGAACCACGTTTAGACGCCGAACAGGGAAAAGCAGAAAGTGTTAAATTTAACACCTTACCAACTTTACGTTTTTTTTTTTTTTTTTTTTTTGCACCCGCAAATGATTTTTACATGAGGACACACTCGGTCTGAGGTGGAGAACTCCAAGATTATGGCTGTCAGAGTTGCTGAAGTTATTCAGGAAAGGTAGCAGCTGCTGCCGGGTAGTGGATTTTAGAGACTTCTACTTTAGTTCTTACTGATTTTCTTTATGTTTAAACTGTTTTTCTTATGAAAGAATTTGCGGATTATGTAAGATGTAAAAGATAATCTGATCTACAGCACTGAAGGTTTTTGGCCTGTGTTAGTTCCCATGGTGACCAACCGTTGGGCTGGCAGATGGATGGCACTGCTTCTGTCTGCTTCATATTTCAAGTAAAAAAAAAAGTCTGTACATACTCTGCAACAACCGGGAAACTTGTTCTTTCTTTTGGATAAGAGAGAGAAAAAAAAGAACAAAAAATTACATCATTCATCTCTCTCAGATTTCTCTCTCTGGAAAACCTTGGAGTTGATGGATCATCTGGGTAGAATTTATTTTTCTGTGGTCTCCAGCAACTATTGTGTGCGATTGGTGAGAAATGTGACGTCGACGTGCTCCATCCACAAAAGCAGAGAGGATTGACATCGCCATGAGTTTCGGCACAGGAGTTTCTATTAAAGTAAGAAGGTCCCAATCAGAACGATCTTTGTTCTAATTCTTCCTGCCTTGGAGTGGAGAAACGTCTCTGACCTTCCGGAGTATGCACAGACCATAATTCAACACAGTGTCAGGTTAAGGGTTTAACGGCAGACACACTTTATCTTCTGGACAAAAACTTTACTTCGCAACCTGCAAGTCTAGTTGGATTCAAAATTCCTTCTATGGATACAGTCAAAAAGGAAAAGACAGCATAAGTGGTTGCGAATTCTTATTTACTGCTGCAGGTAAACATGTATCGCTTGTGCAGTTAGCAGTAAATAACTTGTCCTGTTTTTAAGCAGCAAGAGGCACAGTGGTACGGTTGTTTCCAGGAGGTCAGCCCTCATACTTGCCCCACTCACTGCTTTGCTGCCCTGCCTACCTCTCTCCACAAACACTGAAATGTGTCTGTTCTCACTCAGCAAGCTTCGTTTGCAATCTCCTTTCTTTCTAATTGTTCTGCATTGATGTCAGAGATGTAATGAGGGGTAGGGATGCTTATAAGGACTTTTCCCCCCCTCTATTTATAAGGTAAATACAGCAAAAATTACCTATAATTTTCTCCTAAATAGTTCAAACAAACCAAAAGTTATATATCTCAAGGGCATAGATCTTTCTAAAAGCAAATCCAAGTCAGTCAAGTGCAGCAGAGCATGTTTCAAGAACCCCTCGTGCCCCCAATAAAAAAAACTGAACCATCCCACATTAAACCGAAAACAAGTGGCTATTAATGTCCAAAACGTCCCAGTTTACCATTTAAATCGCAGTCAGCTCAAGCATGTTCTTATAAGTCGGATCAAGAGTATCTATCAATTATAGCAAGTAAAGTACCATCATGTTTCTAATTCTGCAGAGTTAAATTATCAAAACAATGATCTATTCAAAAAATTTTGCTTTGTATTTATAATCACAACCCTGATCCAAAGATTAATGGCAGATTTCTTTTTGCATGAAAAGCCAGAAAATAATTGCGGACAGAGGAAAAACAAGGCCGGACTACATCTGATATATTAGACGGAGCAAGGTCACTATTTTTATATTGTACCATCATTTAAGAAAAGGCACACACTTTTCTACTAAGGGGTTACTAGTGATGTTTGGATGGGAAAACAACTCTCCTCAACAACATCAGCTTATTGCGAAAAAGAAAGAAGGCATCTGCTTGTTGGGTCCTTCTTTTATTAGGTGCATGAGTTTGTGGGAAGTCTCAAAAGCATTTTATGTGTAGCAGTATATTTGATACGGCAATGAATGCTCTATTCCTGGCTTTAATTTCCTCAACAATTCAGTTATTGACTCTTGTGCTTTTTCAATTTTCCTTCAGACATTGCAAGTTCTCTGTCTTGCCAAACCTCAAGAACTGTGCTTCTGGTTTCTCGTGCATTAAGAACTTTTTGACATGCCAGCTTTTTCCATCATTTCATTGAAAACAAAGGGTTGTAGTACCTAATCCTTTTTGCGTGTTCCACAATATGTCCAACTTCTGGGTCTTTTGAGAGTAAACTTTTGTGAAACAGTTACAGATGAACCAGATCAGGTTATTTGACCAAATGCCTGAAACAGAAGACTCAAGTGACTCTTTTCAAAGTCAAACTTGTATACTTATCTCTGCTGTGTCCACATTAGAGGACACAACAGCAGAGGTCAAATTTCAAGACCTTGAGTGTTAAAGGCGTCTAAAATCTGTTCATATCAGTCCTTAGTTTATGCATCAAACACACCCTGAAACATGAGAACCTGCAGTCAATAAGGGTCTTATTGTTTAATATGTTTAACAAACATATTAAATAAATGTTTATTTAATACTGCTGATATTAAATAAAAGCAGTGGAAATTGAAAATTGCTGTTTACTCCTTTTCCTGCCAAGAAACATTAGAATCCAAACCCTCTGTGTGTAACATCACCATGACAAATCATTTGTATATACAACACTTACCCGGAGGGAATTTTTACCATTAATATTTACTCATTTGGTATGCACTTGCTAACTTTTACCATTTGTTACACATAAGATAAAAACTGTTCAGGGCGGTCAAGTCTTAGAACTTCACTGAGGATCAAATTTAGAGTCTTTACCAGAGCAAGTCTAAGTCAAGTCTAGAGTCTCTGTGTTTTTGCAACTTGGGTGAAAGTCACAGACGTTAAGTCTCCATCTTCAGTGCATACATACCCGGCTGTCCTCTTGAGCCTCCCACTCTGGAGTGAAGCTGTGGACTTGAGTTCCTGGTGTGCAGTTGGAGAACTGGAAGAGGCTGGCAAACATGCGGTGGTTCTCTGGAGTGTCGGGGAAGATGGGGTCCTGGAAATTAACTCCATGTGGAATAATGTTGTAGTTTTCATCCATCCTACATGGCATAAAGAGCACAAATACGTTTAGTAAAGAAAATGAAAAACAAAGCAAAAAGTGTTTGCATGTCTGACTAAATCCAGACGAAAACACACGTCGATATGAATTTATCCATGTAGCACATCAAAACAACAGATGGCGACCAAAGTGCAGTGCAATTCAATAAAATTAAGTAACGGGACGACAACAGGGTAGCATACACATACAATAAAGAGTGTTTTGAGCTCTCGCTAAATATGAAAGTTCGCACGAGTAACCTGCCAATTCATTGCATAGAGACATACCTGTCAATGTTTCAAAAATGGGGGAAGAAAATATAACTATGTAATTTGCTGGCAGACTTTGATCTAACATTATAAAACCCTGAGAAGCATGTGGATGACTCAACCAGTAAATTACAAGGTGTGAGGGATTTATGAAGTGTGTTTCATATCTTCAGGAAGTTTTGTGTTATTCATCTGGATTTCATTTCGAGGCCCTCGGGGAACGTCCTCTGCCTCGCCGTCCCTATCAAAGGCCTTGCCGTTAGTATGTCGAAGTGGCAAGGGAGAGCTCATGTTTTCCTTCAGCAGATGATGTCAAAGGTTAGATGTAATCAGGGGAACTAAAAGTATTTGGAATTGCAGAGTCAGGGTAGAGTATGCAAACCTGAGGACGCCAGAAGAAGAAAAAAAAAAGTGAACTGAAAGAACATCAGGTATAGTAATTGATAGTGCATATTGATCATTTTTAGCATTAATGTAATAAAGTTTTCTTTAACAGAGGAAGTAGAACAACAGAGAGAGCAAAAAAGTGGGCCAAATGTTTTTCAGCAAACGTATGGCGTTAGCAGCAAACTCAGTCTGTTTTGATGGATCCTGAGGGATGTCCTTCGATGATTTTTTTTCAGTGTTAGGCTGTGATTTATCCTGTCTGGGGAGCATGTACTCATGATTGACCGGAGAGGCTATTTTTGTTCAAGAAGATGTTTTGGGGGAGAGGAAAAAGAAATGTCCCCTGGAGACTTGATAAGAGATCTTCTGTAAGTAACTATTGCTAAGCAGCCGCAACAAAGCTGATTCAAAAGGTATTTGTACTGAGTTTATGGTGACACCTCAAGACATGAAGCATTTAAAGATGTATCTACTGTATTTTAAATAATTCATATTTGAAATAAATGTTATCCAAAGTTCAAATTCCTCCTACAAATATTATGTAATACAAAAATCTCTTATTTAAGCCTAAGATGAAATATGATGAAAGTAGTCAGCCTTAGAAAGTAGGAACCTTTATTCCTACTAATCATCTGCTGCTTACTGGATTTAGTTTGAGTGGAGCCTTATGTTTTAGACCCTTACAAAGTAGAGGATAATTATGAAGTTAAAGGAAAATGATACATGGGTTACATTTTTTTTTCTAACAAATAAACATCCTACAAAATATCATTTGTGTTCAGCCATTTGAATGAATACTTTGTAGAAACACTTTTGGCTGCAATTATAGCAGAAAATCATTTTGAGTATGTATCTACCACCTTAAGTTTAGACAGTAAAACTGTCAATTTTTTAATACTTTATTGATCCCAAAGGGGAATTGTTGCAACTGGTATTAATTCAGATTCTTCAGAGAGTTATTGTAGATAGTGATGGCTGTTGGCACGAAAGATCTCTTGTAGTGGTCTGTATTACAGAAAATCTGAAGGAGGCTTTGGCCAGAGACGATCCTTTTTTCACAAGACAGTCTCGTGAAGAAGAGGGTGGTCAGGGTTGACCATTGCTTTCTTGATTTTTATGACGAATCCTTCTTTGAATCATCTCCTGAGGTTCCATCTCCCAAAAGAGTCAATTGGTCACACTGAATTTTATTTAAGGGTGTCAGAGTAAATGGGACTCAAACAGCAAAACACATAAATGTCCTTCCGTTTCACAATTACCCACTACTTTGTGGTATTCATAGTAAAATATGTTAAAGTTTGTGTAACTTGGGCACAAGGCACATTAATGACAACCATTAACCTTTAAGAGAAGCCCTAATAAAAGACGTGCGTATTTAACATTCTCAGGGTCAGAGAACCTCCAAACTCAATGGCAGTAATCAAACACATGATAAGGGTCTTATTGTTTTAGTTATTTGTGCATATGGCGGAACAGTTTTCAGAAAACGTTAAATTAATTGCAGAATTTCTCAAGAAACAAAACTGAGAGGGTGCAACCGGGTCATGCATGTCAAATTAGGACAGCAAGTCTGCACACTGGAAGTGTTGGAGGCAAACTGCTCCAAACATAACAAATGATGTAGTCTTTTAAACACATGTGGAATAATGCAAAGGGGAAATGGGGAAATGAATACCCCCCCCCCCCACACACACACACCAAAAAAAAAAAAAAAAAAAATTTAAGGGAAAAAAACGCCAAAAACCCTTTTTGG